CTTAGAAAATAGTAAATTAGATGTAGATTTGAGTTTTAATATATAAATGTTATAAGAAAGTGTCATACCCTTTAAGTCAGTGTGAAGAAGTGCATATTAGTGTAAATGTATCTAGCAAAAAGGAAAGGTGTTGTATTAGTTGTATTCTGGTCCCATTCCTGTAGATTTCTGCAGATTCCAGTGCCATTCCTGTGGATTCCTGTGGATTCCAGTGCCATTCCTGCGGATTCCGGTGCCATTCCTCCGGATTCCTGCAGATTCCTGCAGATTCCTCTGGATTCCTGTGGATTCCTGCAGGAATGGGTGGGGCACTGTAAAGTACTGCTGACATGTTCTGTAAGCTTTCAATGGTTGAGGATAACAAAATGGAACCTAGTGACGAACCTGAATTAACCTCCAACACATCAAAAACTTCCTCCACATCGAAGGTGTCAAAACTTGATGTGATCCTGGAAGCTGTTGAGAGTCTTTCCCAAACTGACATTGCACACATCTTCAACACAACACTCACCTTGTCCTCTGACCCCATGTCCCACACTACTACTCAAATCATCCCTTCCCAGTCCACACCAACACATCCCCTCTCCATCGAGCCCCAAACAGACAATGAGATCCTTCTCCTGGCGGCACTCCAGGAATCTGAGGCCTGCAATCAGATTCTCCTCAACTGTACGATTGAGTTGCAAGCGAGCAACATCCTAAACAAAGCCTACTGCAGCAAGCTCAAACGGCACCTTGCTCATCAGGAAAACAAGAAGAAGGATAAGGGGAAGGGGACATTGGTTGGGGATGGCTTACCATGTGTGCTCACTGGTGATGCCTTTTACAAAGCAGTTGTTGAGTTCAAGAAAGCGAAGGTTGCTGAGGAGAGGGATGCTGAGATGAAGAAGGATGTGAGGGCTGTCTATGCCGCCGCCTTGAAGGAGTGGCAGGAGGGGGAAGCTGCACAAAAAGCCGAGAAGGAAGAGATGTTGATGGAGTACAGGCACGCCGTCACCTACTGGGAAAATGTGAAGAANAGATCAGCGAGGAAGAAGACACATTTTAACCTACTTAAACCGAAAATGCCTATATTTGACAAGGCTGTGCATCGTCCGCACATG